GCCTGGAATTGAACTGCTGGTTTCGTCTGGCCAGAGGAGAACTGGCCCCACGATTGAGCCTGTTTTCTCCCAAGGTTTTTTCTCCATTCTGTCATCGATGGAGTTTTGGTTCCTTGCCGCTGTCGCCTCTGGCTTGCTTAGTTGGGGACACTTCATTTCCAGCGATATCGTTGACTTGATTGCACAGATACTATTTAAACTGAACTGGATGATGACATCACTGAATTCAATGATGAACTGCCTTTAACTGAAAAATGAGTGTTTACTATTGTCACTTTGCATTATTGACACTATTTTCCTAATTAATGCTGTACAGTTGCTTTGACACAATCTGTATTGTTAAAAGCGCTATATAAATAAAGGTGACTTGACTTAGCAGATGCAGTATGAGTGAAGTATCGATAGGGAACGTACTCGGTTACGAACGTAACCTCGGTTCCCTGAGATATGGAAACGAGTACTGCGTTGCTAGCCGTGCTATGCAGCTGCACGACTCAGTCGTCGCTTCAGTCAAAGTAACATGAATCCTATGGCGAAGTTCCCGCTTATATAGTCGGATGGCCCCACCCATTCTGGCGGGCTTCGTGGCCATAGGTTCGTGCAGCACCGCTGCCGAGCCATTGGTTCGTTTTTTTAAGTGTACTGCACAAACCAATGGCAATGCAGTTACACTGCGTTATTGAAAAAGGCTTCAGTTCAGGAGAAAAAATAACTTTTTCCCCATAGCGTCTTAAGCCGGGCTCACACTGTGCGATTTTTTAAAAGTCCTTTAGGATTGTACTTGTCAGACTGTACGAACATGATGATCATGTCACACTGTGGGATCTCAGTTGTCATTAATGTCAGACTGTACAACAGTCAAGACGCGTTAAAAACGGATGCGCACAAGAAAACTTGTCCGGAGCTCTACATTATCAACCCATACATGTTTAGTGACTGTGAGCTGCACTGCACGCAGGGCTGTAATGTTGGCTATCATTAAAAATATATGAATGGCGGCAATACCGGCGTATTTAAGAAGAATAGTGTAAGCAGCACTACACACCCACATGAAAACAGCAGCGCAACTGGTGTTTATCATAGCAAAGGCAACGTATTATATGAATTCCGTAAGCGGAGGATTTAAGAAATCTCTAGAATTAATTCTGATCATGGCTTGTCTTGAAAAAACGAAGACAGTTTGACGTTCGTCGTAGGAGAAGTCACACTGCAGGACTGTGTGCCAAATCTTCTGACACTGCCAGAATTTCGTCGGAGACCAAATTTGATCGCAACGGCCATTAATCGGCTGTCGGTGAACATGTCAAATTAACGATCAAAGACTACTGATTTTAGCCTAGGATTGTAGGAATCTTTTAGGATTTTCAATATACACACAGTGGTGTGAAAAGGTTTGTGCCCCCTTCCTGTTTTTTAAATTTTTTGCATATTTGTCACACTTAAAAGATTCAGATCATCAAACAAATTACATTCGAGCACGTAATAACCATAGCTAACTGCTGTAGTGTCAACATGAGATTAAGCAGTCATTCAAGACAGAACATAGTACTTTCCCCTACTAAAGTGGTAAAGTTTCAGTGGTAAACGGTTCATTCTTGGTTAAAGGAAAACAAAACATTGTTTTTTTTCTTTTTGTTTGTTATTGGGTTTTTTTCCCCAAGAGAACAGGATTTTCCAGAATATTTTACATTTTCTATTATTTTTTCATGGATTATTCAGTTTTTCAGGACTGAAATTACTCATAAAATCTCCAGGTTTTTCATGACAGCCTTAGTTCACACTTTGCTTAAAAACAATGATAATATAATGTCAAACATGCTTCTAAGGTAAAAAAAAACATGCTCAAAACAGCCCAAATACTGGAAACACTTTGCAAATTCTTTCAAATTGTCATTAAAACATTCAGCATGTGCCGCTTAGAATTCAAGTCCTATGGTGCTTCTGGGGTGCGGTAAACTTACGTGGGTTTCTCATTGGTGATGAGCACTTTGACCTTATTGAGGGCTTTTTTGGCACCGGTGGGTTGAGTCACAGCAGGTTTGCTATGGGCAGGGCTGGAATGAGGACTGGCGATATAAACCTTCTTACCTCCACTGCCCGGCGGTTTAGAGTGTGAGAAATCTGTGATAAACACTATACCCTCACTGGTCAGCACTATGACACAGAAAAGAATAAATTGCAAAAATTAGAAAAACAGTTTAGCAAATTGGTATTTACTTCATTAAACTATATTACACCATATATCATGCAACATTTAATAATAACTTTTATTAGTGATGCACAAGACCATTTTGTACTGAGCAAAGATACAGCAACCAGTACATCAGCAAAGCTGAAAGGTTCAGTGTAGTACAGTTAGACTAAGTGGAGCGTCATATAATGTTAAAAAGTAGTACATTGTTTTTGTTAAATTTATTTATTAATTTATTCAAACATAGTGTAAACATTGAGAAAGACCAAACTCAAAAGATTTGTTCGCAATTCAAATGTCACTTCCAGCAACTGTATCTGTGCATCCCTAATTACTTTTATTAATATGATACGATAGAATACACACATGCCAGATTGGAGGGCTCAAAGGGGTCAAAGGAAAAAGACAGGATGTTCTCAGCATAGCTCTTCTTCCACAGCTTGGTGCCAGTGTCTCCATTCCACAGAACAATATAGTTGGGAGGGTGGACAGCCAGAAGAAGATCACGAGACGCATCCTGAGCCCACAGCCAGTCCATATCTGATGCAAGGTATCAGTACATATGAATATCAATATCAATGAAAATGTTGTAATATTTTAACGGTTAAGTATTTATACACTAAGGTAGTTAATGCTGCGCTGCCTTTAGCATATTACTAATTTATATTAAAAAAAATAATTATATTACAGAAATTTTTGAAGTAATGAGGTAAATTATTACTGTATTACACACTAACGACTATTTAATGAAAATCACCATGAAAATGTGAATAATTAAGCAGGAGTGTTATCACAAGCAGGAGTGTGATAAAGGCCTACATCAGCACAGCAGTGATTAAGCCGTAGGCAAGAGGCCACAGGCCAAGTGCCGCAGGTACTGTGCTGGTCTACTAGTAATGTACTGCAAAAGTGAGAGAGTGATATATTAACGGAATGTAAATGAAATAAGGAAAAAACAAAAAATGTCTTCCTTGTCTTCCGCCATAAAATCATAACTGCCATTGATAGTTAAAAAGATGCATATATACAATATACTATTTGATATATACATTTACGTAAAAAGTCCATACGTGGACATAATTTGTATCTGTCCACAGAACTAATTTCTAAAGTTCATGATAAATATTAACTAATCTGGATTGGTGGTCTAAATAAATATCAACCAATCAAATAAAATCATATGTAATATGAATAATATATAATATTCTATATATCATTTGTTTTTCCCCATTTCTTGGTTAACCAGCACAGAGTTTATTTTAACACAAGCTTAGTAAATAGGGTTCTTACCCTGAATAGGTTTCGTGTGTTCCTGGATCTCACAGTGTGCCATACCACTCACCACATCCCACACAATAATCTTCCCTGCTGCATCTGCAGAGGCCAGGCGCAGAGAGTAGGGTGAGCTGAGACCGTGGTGATAGTTTTCTCTGGACCATTTTACCTAATGAAGTAAAAATAGGACACAACAACAAAAACTAGGTTTTTCCATTTGTATATTCTGATGCAGTTGCTAAAGTGTTGTGAGTGATCGTAAGCATGTTGCGAAGAAGTTGGTCCAGTCAAAAGAGCCCACACCTAAGATATCCATGTATTCGAGGCCTCATCTTTTTCAATTATTGTTTAGAAAAGTAATCACACATCACTCCTTAAAAAGCCACATGATATGAGGTATAACTCATGTAAGCAGCATAAATGATACAGGACAGGTTATGCTGTGAAGTTTTAATACTAGTGATATGAATAATCCCCTAATCCAGTGTTTAAGCACTAGTAAAGCACCACTGAACTCTAATCACTTAGAAAAGTAACCAAGTACAACCAATAAACCATTAATCAATCAATCACTAAAAACATAAATGTTCAGATTTTATCCACAGATAGTCAAAATTAAAATTCCAGACACAATGTCTATACCTAGGGAGAGGCTTGTGTGACAATCAATAAAATGTGGGTGCTAAAGACCAGAACATCAGTGTAAATTGTGTTGCTTCATGTGTTACACATTGCCATTATACCTGTATTTTTGCATATGTTTTTGATATGCCTGTTTCACATGGTATAAAGGATTAAAGTGCCCTGCAGGGACAGAAAACAGATGCAGAGAGCAGGGCATTGTACTGCTGGTAAATGCAGGCCAGGGTGTCTACAGATATGAAATTAAACTTAAGACTTTTTAAGACCTTTTTAATACCACCTTATGTGAAATTTAAGACCAAGCCTGTGATGGAAATACACATTATATTACATATGTATATGTAATATTTAACGCGTTTAAATGTAAAAAGAAAACAAAATATCATCGCTGTCAAAAATTATATTTGTTATTACGATATACAGTGAACTTTTCATATCAGCAGAAAATATCCCATACAAAATATTCCCACAAAACAAAAGTGTCGCATAACAGAGATTTTTGGTGGTGTAAACAATTTATTCTGAAGCAATATTTTCGTCAGTTTTCTGTCAGCTTTTACATACTTAAATCTGCATGTTTTTAATATTTACCACAGGATGTCATTTACCTTTATATAAAGGCCAATATATATATTTTTTACCTTATTAAATGTATGCGTCATTTTCAAGTCAGATTCTTACAATTGATCAAGAAATTTAATACACTACAGGGCCGTTACCAATCAAATTAAATAATAAAAAAATTACAACAGCAATAAATAATGTTATGGGATTAATGTTGTAAATAAAATTTTGAACATCCAAATAAGAAATGTTGGGGGAAAATGCATACTTTTAAGCATGAGACTAAACCGCCAGTAGGTGGCGGCAAGTCACTTATTCATTCAACCGATTCCTTCAAACCTCTGAATCATTCAGTAACAAAAACGCCGGATGTGGCTTGGAGAATGTGCGCAATAATTCTGTTCTGATCTTTGTTTGGAACTATTTTCGTTGGTGAAATAGAACAAAACAGTCAATTGTGTCTAAAAATGTAAGTAACTTCATATACTTTACTACTTGTTTGTTGAACTAAAATCAATGTAACATTTGCAATCATGAAAATATTCATCAAAATGGATCCCTTGTCATGGTATGTTACTTGACTATATCATGCTATAAATGAACTAAACATTTTGAATTTTTACCGCAGTATGTTTGTTCTGTGAATTTCTTTGTGTGTGCCGTACGCTCTGTAGCATCTGGACCAATCAAACACATTATTTTGTTAGCTATATTTAACAAATACTCTGTAACACCCCTCAGTTAACAAGCCATATGAGGACCTATGGACCCTTCCCCCGAAACCAGGTTCCATGGCAACCACGGCTGATAACACTGGTTTTATTGCTCAAAGGAATGCAAGAGAGAGACTCTCACTGCATTTTCCATAGGAAGAGACACACTGCACAGTAGAAATTGACTTTTCTACTAATTAATTCATAGGAAAACCTTTCTTTGATGTTTATAATTAATTATAACTAGTTATGATTAATTATTCATATTTCCCCATGAGTCGATTCGCTACACTCATTTGATTTGATTTCTCCATGAAAGTCTCACAGCGACAGGCAGTACGAGCCTCAACAGCTCGACATTGATAATAGAAATACACCAATTATCAATCGCTGTTTAAGCTGAATGTGATAAAATCAGAAGAATCATTCGCACGTTTTGATGCGTGATTATATTTTGTCACTTAAGTTTTAATCAGGCTATTAGTCCTGTCGGGCAAGTACAATTCTCAAGCAATTTTTCAGTAAACTTGCATTAACCCATTTAAAGTAGTTCGGAGGCTGGTTAGCGAGCTGGTGTTAGACTGTATTCTGTAAACGGAATTCTCTCTGATGACGCGGTAACTACAGTGGAGAGAAAGTACTCTTGATGGACACTCACTGGGTCCGTCAGACTGGAGAAATGTTTGTGGTAATGTGACCAAAAACACTCACTCAGACTGGAGAAATTTTTGTGGTAATGTGACCAAAAATATTTAAGACCTACTGACTCTGAATTTAAGACATTAATACTTAAGGCCTTATTTTAGGAAAACTTTAAGACATTTTAAGACTTTTTAAGGACCCACGGCCACCCTGCTTAAACCTTGTTTACAGCCTATGCACCTTTTTCCTACACCTCATGACGCTTTGCTTAAACTGTAAACAATCAGCGAAAGATTAGCTTTATGAATGCAATAAGCATTTTCAAAAACTGGGTACAACAAGGCCACATCCTACTCACCCTTCAACCATCGATTATTAAAAGTAAATTTAAAAGTTAACAACTTTATTAATCCCACTAGGGGCAATTAAAGTAGGGCAGTAGCATCATATAACAAACTTAATACAAACATAATATATCACATAGACAACACAAAAAAAATAAATAAGTAAAGACACAACCCAACATGCTTCATAATATATTCTGTACATAAACAATACATTTTACATTTAGATTCTTAAAAAAAAAAAAAAAACCTTACTAAAACTAAGTTGCAAATACGAATAGCATCTGGAACAAAAGTGAATTTATATCTATTAGATGAAAATGTAATGCTTCTAAATCTCCTTCCAGAGGGCAATACTTCCAAGATAACTTTCAAGGGGTGAGAGTCATCTCCCGTGATACTCCGAGTTTTTCTTATCATTTGTTGCTCGTAGAATTCTGCTAGACTCCGCAGAGGCACACCAATAATTTTAAAAGTAAAAAAAAGGCATTAAAAAATTACTACAACAGACCATGAATAACCCCAAATGATTTATTATTTTTCCAGCAATATAATAGAAATGTGAAATACCACTATAGTAATATATTATCTGTTTTATATAACATATGGTGCCTTTATCAAAAATGTTTATTAACTGAAACATTGAATGATATAATATTTTAAAGTGCTTTTTGTCATTTTGACACAATAAATATTGAATTTACTTCAAAAACATTTCAGTAAACACTGTTAATAGGGATAAGAAGTGAAAAGGGCAGACAATTATATTTCAAAGCATCGGTGTGAAACTGAAAACAAAACTGGGAAGAGATTTGGGGAGAAAAACGAGAGATTCTTAGTGCATTACAGTTAAATATTAAAGGGATATAACAAATTAAATTGGTAGAAATGTGCACTATGTTGTCTGCATTCCATATTGTTATAGTGGAATACAAAGGACAAAGAAGAAAATATTCAGGAGGAGAAGAATGCAGAGCTCTTGCCATTGATATTCTTTTTATACAATGTCACATTAAAATACCAAGCATTACATCATTCTCCTGACTTCTGAAATAGAACATGAAGGAACATTTACAGCTAATTTATTCAAACTGACAGATTATTTGTAGTTAGTATTTGTTTCAGTCTTTTTGAGTGGAACTTCCCCAAAACGGAAGTGCCTTCCATAATTTAATAGACCAGACTATGAATATAATATTCAAATATACATAACAGTAAAAGTTGTTAATTGCTGCTGCACTTTTTGACACATCAACTGTTCACTGTAGTTCACACAAGCAGTTGTCATTTACATGCGCAGGCAGTCTCAAACTCCATATTTAACTGTAAAAACAATCGCCAGGCCATTGGCCCCCTCTGCAGGCATTTGATATAATACACAATGTACATAAGTTATGATTATATTGTTTTATTACATTATGTATTTTAACCGTTTTGTTCAATAAAACTGTAACAAAGTTCGTAGTTCGGGAAGGAGGAGGTGGGAACCGGCGAACATTCAAACAAAACTTTAATAATAAAATAAACACAAAACAGCGCGACAGCCCCTCACGTACGACTGTCACGCACAAACAGAACCAAAACACAAAATAAAACCCAGGCCTGGTCCTCTCTCGTCCAACACTCCTCCTTTTATCCTTCCGGAGCTCCTCCGTGGGACTCGAGAACGGTGAGTGGTGCAGGTGTCGTGCATTAGCATTTACTCCACCGGCCTCGCTCCGTTCCCACGGCTCTCGGCCCCGCCCCTCTCGTATTAAGTCATTTTAAAGTCTATTGTTCGCTTAGGAGTATTTAATTAATCGTCAGAGTAATTGACCGATTACTCACTCACCAAAATAATCGTTAGTGAGAGCCCTAAAACCAACTTAATGGCACTTGCAATGCTTTACGAGAATCCACAATAAATGGTGAGCTCCGTTTGCCATGATATTTGTTATTATACCATCAACTTCTCTGATGGTAAATGTTCTTTTGGTATTATAGCAAATTAACCAAGGAAAGCACGTCTACTATTCAACTTTCTGTTTTGGTCAACTGAACAATGCTGTGTGACAGTGTGTGAACAAACATTTAAAACCCACCTTTACCACACTTGCTTTGTGTCTCTCCAGGACCTGAATGGTCTGAGCTGTTTTTGGATCAATGATGAGGATATTTGAGTGACAGCCTTGAGCAATCAGTCCCTGCCATCCCCTAAGCAGAGAGAGAGAGGAAATGGATAAGGAACATGCAGTGGATACAGAATCGGAGAGAATCTAACAATGCCAAATTGTATACGAGTATTATCATGATATTAATTTGCCATTAACGGAGAAGGGAAAGTTTTGCACATGTACAGTTAGATCCATATATATTTGGATACAAGCACAATTTTTATTATTTTAGCTGTTTAGCAAAACATTCAAATGCACACTCTAAGCTTTATTTTGAGGGTTTTCACATCCAAATTGGAGGAAGGGTCACTACAGCTCTTTAATAAAAATAATTGGGACAGTTGACTCAAAAGCTGTTCTATGGACAGGTCACAGGTATGGGCTATTCTTCATCAATTAAGCACGTAAAAGGTCTGGAGTTGATTCTAAGTGTGGCATTTGCATTTGGAAGCTGTTGCTGTGAACCCACATCACACGGTCAAAGGAGGTCTCCATGCAAGTGAAACTGATCACCATTAGGCTTCAAAAACAAAAATCATAAAGAGTGAAGGAACATTAGGAGTGGCTAAATCAACAAAAAAAGTCAACACTGGTGAACTCAGCAACATAAAAAGGCTTGGACATCCACGGAAGACAACAGTGGTGGATGATTGCAGAATCCTATGCATGGTAAAGAAAAACCCCTTCACAACATCCAGTCAAGTGAAGAAAACTCTAGCAGGCGTGTCACTGGTAGGCGTTTCATTAGCCATGTTTCCATCCACCTTTTTTTATGCGCATTTTGGATTATCGCATAAAAAAAAAAACGCTGGATGGAAACGCCAAGATGCGCATAAATAGGGCTGGGCGATATAGCTAAAAAAATATATCAACGATATGTTTCATATCGTTCGGTATCGATAATTATTGAAATTTTTTATTAACTTTTTTTAAAACAGAGCAATTGAAAAAAATTAAATTAAATTTAACCACTGCATTTTTAATTTGCCCACTTTATTAAGACAAACAACAAATATACAGTGGTGTGAAAAAGTGTTGGCCCCCTTCCAGATTTCTTATTTTTTTGCATGTTTGTCACACTTTAATGTTTCAGATCAAACTAATTTAAATATTAGTAAAAGATAACACAAGTGAACACAACATGCAGTTTTTAAAGACAATGATCCAAAACACACCAGCAAGTCCACCTCCAAATGGCTAAAGAAAAACAAAATGAAGACTTTGGAGTGGCCTAGTCAAAATCCTGACCTGAATCCTATTGAGATGCTGTGGCATGACCTTAAAAAGGCGGTTCATGCTCAAAAACCCTCCATTGTGGCTGAATTACAACAATTCTGCATAGATGAGTGGACCAAAATTCCTCCACAGCGCTGTAAAAGACTCATTGCAAGTTATCGCAAACGCTTGATTGCAGTTGTTGCTGCTAAGGGTGGCCCAACCAGTTAATAGGTTTAGGGGGCAGTATGCATATATATATATATATATATATATATATAAAAAAATCAATTTATTTTATAATCAAAATAAAATTTAAACAAATATCTCCTTTCTTATGTTTTATATGCAGATTAAATAAGTCTTAAGGAAACTTTTGACTTGTTTCCCAAGGCCACAGGAGGGCACAATGAGCAAATTATGCAGCGCATTAAACTGTCAATTCAAATAACTGTCTATAAAAACGTGCATAACGTCTAAATTAACATATATAAATCAAATATAATTTTGTAAACTGCATAATCAATTATGAACAAAACAGCATCATGTGTTTATGCATTGCTTGGCCTAATACAAAGAGCCAAATCGCCGATCAAACAGATTACATTTAAAAACATATGAGATGCAGTGAAATGAAATAATCCTTCACAAATTTGCGTCGCGTTTTCTAAACATTAAAACTGTTTTAACTTTGCATGACTTTCTTTTAGGGCTGCACAATATATCGAAATTATCGAAATATCGCAAATGTAAATATCGCAATATGCATATTGCAAGGGCATGCGATATCTGAATTAAAGGTCGACCGATAGTGGATTTTGCCGATACCGATAGCTAGGTTGGACCACACTGGCCGATACCGATTTATTAGATAGCTTTTAAAATGGATACTGAACAAAAACTAAAATAATGCTTTATTTAAAAAAAACAGTACTGAACCATACTACTAGTAGTAATAATAATAATAAAAATTTAGAAATTAACACACTAACAAGAAACAATACTTTCATTACACAGCTTTCATTAATCGTAATGTTACAAATGGACTCTTATTTTAAAGCGTTACCATTTCATTTCAACAGACATGCTTAAAGATGCACATCTTTAAATATATACACAAAGGCCATAGCATTAAAATGATATACATATGGATATTGTATGTATACTCTCACACTTTAACTTATTTTATTCTTGAAATACTTGATGATTATCTAATCAAGTCTAGGACAGGGGTCGGGAACCTTTTTTGACCAAAGAGCCATTTTTTTATTTTTGGTTAATGCATTTTTCTGAAAGAGCCTAAGTAAAAAAAAAAAAATAATAATAATAATAATAAATGTGCGTGTGTGTGTGTGTGTGTGTGTGTTTTCAATAACGTTTTAATAATAGTAACTTTATTAGGACCATGGAAACTATAATACACAAATATGCAACAAATCGTCAAAAATTGTGCAGGGCTTTTACTGTGAGGTTGATTTACAACCTGAGAGGGATGAATTATCTTCAGAGTTCTCTCTCTCTCTATGTGAATACACACCAGTGCAGGCATTTTGACACTCTGTGTTTTTACCGTTTTAGGCGCGCCACCGAAGACAAATCTACTATGCTTGTCTGTGTTCCACTCGGACCTCGCGCACAGAAAACATCCAGTCAGAAATGGATTGAGTTCTGTTTCGCGGCTTTGAGTTTTTAATACTGTCTGTCTTTTTAATATCAAGAATGTCCCGCTCTTGTCTCATTCATTCACGTTACTTTATTAATAAAGCTAACAGTCCCACCCGCTGAGAGCTGCGCGGAAAAAGCTAAAGTAACCGGCGAAATTTTCACATAAAATTCAAGGCATTGATGTTTGCCTTCAAAACCACCACCGGCTCTGCACCCATTTACCTAAATTCACTACTTCAGACTTATGTGCCCTCTAGAAGCTTGCGTTCTGCAAGTGAACGTCGCTTTATTGTGCCATCCCAAAGAAGCACAAAATCACTTTTATGGACTTTTAAATGAACTGTTCCCTCCTGGTGGAATGACCTGCCCAACTCAATCCGAGCAGCTGAGTCCTTAGCCATCTTCAAGAATCGGCTAAAAACACATCTCTTCCATCTTTATTTGACCCTCTAACTCTAAGCACTCTCTATTCTAATTATATTCTTAAAAAAAAAAAAAAAAAACACTTGTCCCTTTTAGACTTGCCCCCTATTCTTTTGCTGCTTTTTTTTTTTAAAAAAAAAAAAAAAAAAAAACACTTGTCCCTTTTAGACTTGCCCCCTATTCTTTTGCTGCTTTTTTTTTTTAAAAAAAAAAAAAAAAAAAAACACTTGTCCCTTTTAGACTTGCCCCCTATTCTTTTGCTGCTTTTTTTTTTTAAAAAAAAAAAAAAAAAAAAACACTTGTCCCTTTTAGACTTGCCCCCTATTCTTTTGCTGCTTTTTTTTTTTAAAAAAAAAAAAAAAAAAAAACACTTGTCCCTTTTAGACTTGCCCCCTATTCTTTTGCTGCTTTTTTTTTTTAAAAAAAAAAAAAAAAAAAAACACTTGTCCCTTTTAGACTTGCCCCCTATTCTTTTGCTGCTTTTTTTTTTTAAAAAAAAAAAAAAAAAAAAACACTTGTCCCTTTTAGACTTGCCCCCTATTCTTTTGCTGCTTTTTTTTTTTAAAAAAAAAAAAAAAAAAAAACACTTGTCCCTTTTAGACTTGCCCCCTATTCTTTTGCTGCTTTTTTTTTTTAAAAAAAAAAAAAAAAAAAAACACTTGTCCCTTTTAGACTTGCACTCTATTCATTTGCTGCTTGTTTTCTTTAAAAAAAAAAAAAAAAAAAAAACTAACACTTGCTCTCTAATCTTTTTGTATTCTATCTGTTTTCTTTTCATTTATTATACAATTAACAAAAGCAAAAAAGACCTCTAACACTAGCTTGCTCTATTCTATCTGTTTTCTTTTTATTTATTATATTATTTTTAAAAAAAAACTTGCTACGTGTACTGTGTTAAGCTAACTGTAAGTCGCTTTGGATAAAAGCGTCTGCTAAATGACTAAATGTAAGTATTTTGAGAGAATCTGTACTTTACTTGAGTTTTTATATTTCTGTCAACTTTCACTTTTACTCCACCACATTTCTTAATTATAATGTATACTTTTACTCCGATACATTTCCCCAAAGCATATTCATTACTTACTACAAAATAAAGTCGGAGTAACACAGAATGCAAGAAAGCAGGTTTGACGAATCAGTGGTCTGGTGCTTACAAGTTAAGACTCCTAAAAAAAAAACACCTTTGCTCATGTGCAAACAACTGCTCGCACAACCGCAGATGATTTAATTTTCCACTCAAGTCGAGGCTGGGGTGTGCGACATACAGTATATTGTCTGAGATAATGGTAAGTGTTTTTACGATGTGCAATCAGACATTATTAAGTATATCACAAAAACACACACAGAGAGTGCACACATGCACCACGAGATTTAGTCAATTAAAACGCATTTAGAATCATCCAAATTTAAGGCATTCTAAATTGTAAGTGGCAAAAATGCCCCGTATGTCTTTTATATTTATATAATTTAATATAGTTAATCTATATCACATGAAGAGTGCCGTTTTTTTCTCCAGATATCAGCATGATAACAAATGTAATATTGATTTAATACAAGTTTAATAAAGTTAGCATTAAGTGACTTACATTTTAGAAACAATATTGCATGTTTTTGCTCAATTTTGCCAACGAAAATAGTTCCAAATAAAGATAACAGCATTGTTTTGCTTCTCTAAACACACAGGATGGTGTTTCCTCATTGAATGACTCAGCTTTCTGAATTAATCGGTTGAATGAATGATTTGACTTATTAACAAAATCAAATGCTTTGTTCCTGAATGAATCAGCCGTTATTGGTTGACTGCCACCTGGTGGTTTTAATTTCACATTTTATCTATTTTTTTCATGTTTTAAATCATTTCAAATATCAGTATTCAGCGGTTTATATTTAAAATAAAGCATTATTTATGCATTTGTAACTGCAGGTTAAATGCATCCATGTCCCCTCTACATTATCTAAATGCCACTTCAGATGCAGATTCCAGAAATGTTTTCTTATGTTGGAATGAAAGAGACTGAGTACCGGATGAAGTGCCTCTTAAACTAACCCAAAGATACAAAATGGAAGAAAGAGTTCAAACTGAACACATCTTGCTGCTTAAACTGTGTACATTTTCCATTTACTTGTACTTTCAATGCTTAAGTACGTTTAATATTAAAAATTACTATTCATACTTAAAGTACAATAAATATCACATACTTTAAAACTTTTACTCTAGTAATATTATAAATGGCGACTTTAACTTCTTCCCAAGTCATTTTCTGGTAAGATATCTGTACTTTTATTTAAGTGTGGATTTCAGGCTATTCATTTATTAAACAAGAATTTTGAAAACCGAATAGTAACGAGACACAAGTGTTGTCATGTAAAGCGCGTAATCTTGTAATATTAACGACAATTTGTTTTGTTGCCATTGACTTATGATAAATGTGAATACACTGACTAGCCTACTTAATATATAATGCAACATCACGCAATTAAAAGACGATTGCCTTGACAGCTCGATTACTCAATTTAGATTTCTTTATTTGATAATGAAAATTAAACGCATGCCTACGCGTTGTTGTTAGATCTTGATTATTTGTGTTGACAGTCAATATTGTCAGCAGAAGCTAAAGCTACTCACCAGTCCACTGCTGTCTTGTTCTGTAAATGAAGGGTTCCGGTCAATGTTCGTGCAGCCAGTTTAATATTGACAGTGTATGGAATCATGGTTGAAACCATATGTCAAAGCTACAAGAAGAAGTGGAACGTTTTGGTTCGTTAAATGTAATGAATTGACGAGCTGTGTTATTAGGAAGTATTTGCGGTGCGTTTCATTACTGTTCCGTCCAGAAAATGTTCCGTCAAATATATAGTACCCCCAGGTTAACATTTCTACAATGCAGTAGCCTAATTGTCATGTACCACATCATATATGTGTCTTAATATATTGAATACAAAAATAAATTCACTATTTTTAAAGATGGAAAACGTTTATTTTATCACACTTTAATATATTTTGCCATTTTGTGTATCACTTTAGGTAAGTCGGTTCCTTACACCATTCATTTCAAACAAGCGTCAATAATTATGTAAGCTTGATATAGTTTATCTGTCTTTTCTGTAACTGTTCACTTGAGTTATTGCTTTGTTTAGACGATGAATGTGTGACGGACGTTATACAAAACGACAATAAATAAATTAATTAAATAAATAAATAAAAACCTGAGTAGCAAGGCCTTTTATGAATCCATATATATTGGTTTATGGTACTCATATATATATATATATATATATATATATATATATTTAAATCTGGACGACAATAAAGATTTCAAAATATGACTAAAAATCGAATAATGTAATGTCTTGTTTATTTTTTGCACATTAAAGAAGTTTTAACTAATACAATACCGTAAGTACAGCTGAATGTTTTGTATATATTCAGCACTTGGATACTGATAAAATACTGCAGTCCAACTGCAAAGGCCAAAAAGCTCAAATAAAACACTAAATGAATAGTATGTTACAGTACACTCAAATACTTACTGTAAGTTGTGCAATTGCAAAATCAGGATCAATGAGAGATTCATTCTGTCACAGCAACATGTCTTTGTGCTTGAGTCCGGCCTGAGGACTTTGTCCACATCACAAGTAATGCTGTCTTTTTTGCTAGACAAGGAGAAAAAACCCTCTGGTCTGACAGATCCAGCCTTGATAACACTCTCTAAACCTTCCTCTTTCTCTCCTCATCCTCCACTTCTTACATGTACGCTTCCTCCTCTCCTTCTCAGACTGTTTCCATCTATTGTTCGTATCATCATTCAGTCACCTGTGCCACTTGTGCACTCTGAACTGGCTCATATTTTGTACAGTTGGTTTGATCACATCATTAGAAACAAGTGTGAACAATTTTGAATCGTTGTGTGTAAACGATGACAACTGTGCTTTAGTTGTGTTTAACTTTTGTCGCTTGTGTTTAGCATTTTGCAGCACAAATGCATCACAGTGTGATAAGTGTTTAAGTGAATGAGAATGTGTTTAGAGTTTTGCAAAAAAAGAGTGCATGAGATTTGCAAATAGAGTCTAACTGCCTGAACCTGTATTCGACAAATTGGTTTAAGATAGTGAGAATTTGGTTCAGAGATTGGGGTTAAGTGTTTTAGCAATTCAGAAAAACTGTAAATGGCTATTAACACCTGGGGAAGTTGTGGCCTAATGGTTAGAGAGTCGGACTTGTAATCCAAAGGTTGTGGGTTCAAGTCTCGTACCGGCAGGGATTGGGGTTAAGTGTACAGTGCTCTCTCCCACCTTCAATACCACGACTGAGGTACCCTTGAGCAAGGCACTGAACCCCCAACTGCTACCTGGGTGCTGCAGCAAACATGGCTGCCCACTGCTCCGTGTGTGTGTGCACGTGCATGCACTTTGGATGGGATAAATGCAGAGCACTAATTCCACTTTCACTTCACCTCAAATATGGCTCATGACTTTCCTGCAAAGTTTAGCTCCAACTTTGATCAAACTCACCCAACTGTTATTTTCTAATTATCCTGAAGACATTGATTAGCATGCTCAGGTGTGTTTGATTAAGGTTAGAACGAAACTCTGCAGGAAAGTGGATCTCGTGAGCCAGATTTGAAGATCCCTGTCATATATGAAACAACAGTTTCTGAAAAGGTCTCTTTTGGTTTGAGCCATTCCACTTCTGTCATATATGAAACAACAGTTTCTGAAAAGGTCTCTTTTGGTTTGAGCCATTCCACTTCAATTGAGTGGCCAGTCAATGTTGTTTGTATTCTCCTAGTTGTATTACAGGGCTGACTACACAAAACCTGCATGGACCCAAAGGATACAAAAGTTGCTCTGGGCCCAAACCAGCTGGCCTACACTGGGCCATCATAGGATTAATATGGACAGTCCGCTAGTGTCAAGTCAAGTCAAGTCACCTTTATTTATATAGCGCTTTTAACAATACAGATTGTGACAAAGCTATATATAACTAAATTAAGTGTTAATATGCATATTTATAGTTTAAAGTGCCCCATTATGCCATTTTTAAGGTTGCTAATATTGTT